ATGGAGGGAACTAGAAAGTATTATGCTAAGTGAAATAAGCCAGTCAGAGAAAAACAAATACCACATGATCTCACTTATATGTGGAATATAATAAACAAAATAAACTGATGAAGAAAATGGATCCAGAGACATAGAAGCATGGAACAGACTGAGGGATCTCAGAGGGAAGGTGCGGAGGGGGTGGGGGTGGGGAGAGATTGATCAAAGAACTTACATGTTTATAAGCATAACCCATGGACACAGACATTGATATGGGGAAAGCCTGAGGGTGGGATGAATGCGGGGTGGAGGGGATCAATGGGGATAAAAAGGGGACATCTGTAATATTTTCAACAATAAAGATAAAGAAAATTTAAAAAAAGACAAACATCGATGGGTTGCCTCCCTTACACACCCCAGCCCGGAATTGAACCTGAAACCTGGGTATGTGCCCTGCCCAGGAATTGAACCCATAACCTTTTAAGGTACAGGATGGGACGATGCGCCAACCAACTGAGCCACACTAGCCAGGACTATGTTTTTATATTTAAAATGAGTTTCTCTTCAACAGCATATAGTAGGGTCTTGCGTTTTTATCCAGTTTGGCAATTTTTTTCCACTAAATTGGCATATTTAGATAATTTCAATTTAATATAATTATTGATATGACTGGATTTAAATCTATCAACTTGCTAGTTGTTTTCTATTAGTCCTATATTTTTTGTCCCTTTTTCTTCTTTTCTTACCTTCTTTTGGATTAAGTATTTATTATTTATTTATTTTGAAAAAGAAGATAAAGACAAAAAGACATTTTCTGGAGCTACTTTAATTTGGAAAGCAAAACCAAACCAATTTCAGTTGCAAAATCCTAAATAAACTGGTAAATAAAATCCAGCAATACAGTAAAATACTATTAACAGATCATGGTTAAGCAGGTTTTATACAGAGTGCAAGAACAGGTCTGTTTCTAAAAAGTTATTAATTTAGTTACAGTTATCAATGAATTATTCTCAAAAATGCAAAAAATATTCAATAAATTATAACTAAAAAGAGAGATAAATGGTAGTGGTGAAAAATTTTCAACACATATCACAGGCAAGAGTTTTATTTCTTAATTTATAAAGAGTTCATATAAATCAATGATTTACAGAAATTGGCACAAATATGTTTTTTAAAAAAATGCTCAATCTCACTAAATAATAAAAAAAAATTTGAAACTCTTAAGTATTGTCCACTCTTTAGAAAGACAAACATTTTAAAGGTGATGACACCCATCACTGCTAAGGCAATAGAGAAAAAGGCATGAACCTGGATTGTTGAAACAATTATAAATCAATACAAACTACTGGAAGTCAACTGGGTAATATCTATTAAAATAGAAGATGCACGTACCCTTTGACCCAGCAATTCCACTGCTAGGAATTTATGCTACCAATGAACTTACAAAGATTTACCAACAATCACAAAGCATGTGTGCATGTGCACCCACACATATACACACACTCACACACACAGCTGTCAGTTGCAACACTGATGATATTAGAAAAAAGGAAAAGGGTATGGAGGGGATAGGAAGAGATTAACCAAAGAACATATATGCATATATGCATAACCCATGGACACAGACAATAGTGTAGGGAAGGCCTGGGGTGAGATGGGGACTGGGAAGAAGGGGGAAAAAGTGGGGAAAATAGGGGAAAACTGTAATATTGTAAACAATAAATTTTTTTTAAAAAGAAAAGAAAAACTGGAAACAGCCAGTGTTAATCAATAAAAGATTAGTTTTGGCATATTTATATGATTGAATATTGTTTACAATGCTTCCTGTAAAAGAATATTTCTGACATCTCAAGTGTTCATGATATAGTGTTAACTGGAAAATGAAAAAAGGCAGCTTACAAAATATTTGCAGTGTGATTTTACATTTTTATAAAAAATAGATATGCATAGTATTTTTACATTGAAAAATGTCACGATCTATAGCATATATGCTTTCCTGTCAATTACACATTTTCTAAGTGCATATACATCATTTTTATAAACAGAAAGAAATACTTTAAAAAGTTTTCAGCTTTGTAGAAAAGAGAAAGGCAATTAAACAATCTGTGCCCTTAAATGTTATATACTGAGCAATAAACACTAACTAGAGTCCATATCACAGACGTTTGATAAAAATTAATGATTAACTGAGAGTCTAACACATTGAAAGTACTACAGCTAAAATAATGTAAAAGCTCCATTTAAGATTTGGCTGTGGGAATGAGATATGTTCCCATTCATTCTAACCTACTCAACTGGCTCTATTTGCATTGCCTCATTCATCAAATGCTGTCACTCAATGTTGCTTAATCCATGTGTGTGTATATAAGTAGAGTTGGATTGTAATTGCATCAAATACTACCAAGTGTTAACGACAAGAAACCTCATCATTTGAAACCAGCCCTTCGTGTTTAAAATTTAGGTGAGTATCATAACCAGTGTGCAAAAATATTTGCCATAAGTTATTGGAAAAGCAACACAAAAAAACCAATGATGTTTATATTGTGATATAGTCTGAAATATTGATTTAAAAGTAGGAGAGTAAAGAGTAAACTTTAAGTCTGAAAAAATAGTGAAAGGAGTGATCGTATTTTTTAAAGTAAAAGATTTGTACGTTATTTAAAGAGAATGCTTTGATTTTTAGAATAGGATTTGGAACTATTTCCTGACTATGCTTTTGACTTATGTGATTCTTAAAAACAGCCAACTTTCTCTATGTCTATGACTTCATCATAAATGTGATATTTCAGTTTCTTATCTACCTTACTTAACTCTGCAAGCTAATGGCTTAGAGCAGAGTTCCTCCAAGTGTGTTCTCTTAAACTAGTCCTTCGGGGTATTAATAGAGAGAGTTGGGGAGTTTACAAGATCAAATAATTACTGAAAATAATTAATTAAACAAAGGTACCCATGATTCTTCAATAAAGGACTGTCAACAACTTTTCTATGGTAATATAAGTTCTGACTTTCCAAGAGATGGAATATAGATTGAATCATTTCCCATATTTATTTGAAAATGCAACGTTTTTTGTTTGGTTGGTTGTTTGGTTGTTTGCTTTTTAATGTGCATCCAGGAGACTTTTTTTCTAGGACATAAGGATCCTTGAATAAAAGAGAAAATAAACAAAACCAGCAATGCAATTGTCATGTTATCAGTCAAGTATTATACTTGATCACCTACTATGTGCAGGGTACTATTTGACTTATTTTCTGTACAATTTAGAATTTAACTACAATAAGGTTACTAACCTGCCCTATTCCACATTATGATTAAAAATTAACTACCACATTCAGAAATTTATTATTTTAAAGAAGTTGGACAACCAGCTAAGCATTTGAAGTTGAATTCTCAGTTCTGATTATTTTCTTCCTACGTTTGGATGGGAGAGAAGAGGAGACAGGGTAGGGAAGCTCTGGCATAACAGATAGAAGTCAGGAGACTAGATTCTGGTCCCAGTTCTGCTTTTGTGATCCTGAGCAAGGCACTTAATTTTTCAGTCTTACTTAGTCCACTCATCTATAAAGTTAGGAGCTCAGTAAAATGATGTCTAAGGCTCTTCTAAGCGTTCTTGATTAGTAAAGGTGAGAGAATCAGAGAAAGAAGATAAGGATTGATGTGAAACCCTCAAGCTCTGTGAGGATAATATTCACTCTCAGGAACAGAAGAGGGAGTCTTCAACTGCCTTACCTTTGAAGGATTTTGCTCATGAAACTGACTGAACATAGGATGGCTGCATGGAAGATTCTAGTTCCATCCAGATAAGAAAATTTTAGCCTATTTGGGGTTGCCCAGGGACAAAAATAAAGTTGCATGAAGTTTATTTTCCAATGAGTCCTTTGAACCAGGAACTCAAGGCTGCGTCCTTACCCTGCTAGAATAGCTGACCAATATAAAGTTTACAAGAGATTTGAATGGTAACCACTCCTGGGATAATTTGGATTTTATTTTGTTTAATCTAGAAAAAAGAGGACAATGCTTAATAAAAGAAGCAATGACTACTAGAATTCAGCAACATCAGAGAGATTTTAAGACTAGAGAAGTACTGCTTCCCCCACAGACCACAGCATCACTGACTTATCTTGATGATGAAGCCAGGTTGCAGTACTCTACTGAAAGAATATGGAGCTTTCTGCAATTTATGACAGAGAAATCCACAGTCCTTCAGTAGAGTACTGCATCCCAGCTTGATAATCAAGGTATAACATCCATTGATGACCCTTGCCTGAATCAAGTATTAAATTGGGGACTGTAAGATGGTGATTTTTCTAATTTTATCATTCCTTCTGTAATAAATAAATTCCTCATTCATTCTTTCTTGAGAAATGCTATGGACTTGTGGGTTTCTTTTTTCATCAAATGCTTTATAGTCAATTATCATCATTATTCTTTTTGATACTCAAATTGTGCCAAATTTGGCCAGCAGGAGAACCTTCACGTGTCCTTTTGAAGCAACCTCACTAGTTTTTGAATGACTCACTGCTTTCTGGCACAACAGGATATTCCATGTTCACTTCTATTTTCCCAGCCCACATCTAGAGTTCCAGTTCCCTTTAGTGAAAAAAGTACTTAGAAACTAAGATATGGGCATATCAACATTGCTGATTCAAACTTAACATCACAGGAATTTCTCCTTGGATTCTTTTATTTTATATTTGTATCTCTTTTCCCCTTTAGTGAAAATCCTATAATATTAATACATCTACTTATTTGCTGTATCCTATAGTATAGCAAATGCTCTCAGAATTGCAATACCAATATTACCATTAAAAACAAAACCGCTAAGTAAAGTTTAATATTTATCTGCAGCTCTTTTTGTCCTATATTCCAGCAAGATATATATTCAGAATACTATGTTCAAATTTTACTGAAATAATTATTTTCTCTTGGTAGTTAGTTATGTTATCAATTTTATATTGAGTTAGCCACAGTTGTTTGTTTTCAAGTTGAGAAAACTGAACTAATACTATATTTAATCCAACAGAAGCCTGAAAACCAAAGCCTGAAATGAAGTGTTCAACCACCAAAGTTTCCCCAGCAAATGTAAACAACTCAGCAAGAAAAGCCCTGGTAAAATCTTCCAGGTTGAGAAGTAAGGACTTAAGCATTTCTGATTATTTTACATGCTATTTTTTTAATCTGTTATCAAATGTTTATTATCCAATGTTCATACATACTACCTTACCAAAAGTTACTAATAATACAAGAGTTGAAATTGAAAGAGATAGCTCATAAGTGTACAATACAGCAGCATCTGGTTTTAAACAGACTACATACAGCCAACTTTTGCTTATTTGATGCATCACAGGACAGGGATGGCTCAGATAATTTAAACCTGCTACTGCTAATAATCATAATTCTAGCCCTTCATATTAATCCCTTCTTTCCATCCACACCTACTGCCTCCAAATCCCAAACACTTTTTCCCAGATTAACAAAATTTAAACTGATCCACTTTCATTCAACAAACATTTATTACGACCTTTGGTGTATCAAGCTTATGATTTTAACTTGCAATTTCTGATAAAGAAGAGAATACAAGTGAATATATTTGAATAATCCAGGCCCCAAATAAAGCAGATTTGACCAAATGATGCTCAAGTCTATCCAGTTACAAACGCAAAAGGTTTGGAATAAGTTGAAGAGTAAAAAGAATCAGGTGGAAGCCATAGCTTTAAGATGAAAGGGCTATATACTTCTTTGATCCTTATATTACCTATCCTAGGCAATAATTAAACAAACGTATAATCATGTTTTTCATACAGGGGCAGTTATACAAAAGAGTTAACAGAGCCCTGGTGGACTAGAGCAAAAACAGAGGATGAGGAGTGATGGTGGGGACTGCATATACTGGTCCTTTGCGCTCCTCTCCATTTCCCTGAACATCTTAAGACTGGAAGAGAAAGCAGTGCTGAAGTACATCATTTCTGTCCTCCCTAAAGCTCTGGCCCACCCATGGTGTTCTTTGGTAACCATGGAAAACTCTATTTTGACTGTGATTTCTAAATGGCCAGGAAATCACAATTAAGTTAGTCTTTTTTATTTGAGTCTGATAATGCTCTGTGCAGAAACAGTAACTCAGTGGAAGTGACTCTGCACCCCCAATTCCCACTTAATAAAGAATGTATTGTCTTTATCTCAGGAGATGTGGGTTCTTTAAGATACTGGAATAAGGGAGTAGGCTGGAGTTTACACCAGTTACTGGCATTGATGCAAAAATTAAAATGTAACTTTCCCTTTAAAGGAGCAATGACTTATTTATACCATTTAGAAAAACAGTGATAAAGATATCCCTCAAATCACTTATATTAAAATCACATTATTTTAATTATCCCTTAGCAGATCTCCCTTTCCAATAATATTGGCTCAGTTTAATATTAATATTATTATTATTTAAACACTCCTGGCCAAAATCTAGACAGCTGTAAGGTGTGTGACAGGTATGAACCACTTCTCAAAACTCAAGGTGCAAGAAATATCACATTTTTCTAAAGAAAGTGCTCTGAGCCCCCAAGCAAGAAAACAAGAAAGCTCAAATTCCTTTTCCTCCCTTGGGCTAGCCAGATCTGACACAATCCACAGCTCACAAAGCCACAAAACTCATTATCTAACCACTACAGGCATCCATACAGTCAGGCCCTCTAGGAATTCTGGTCACCACTAGGCCATTTCATTTTTAGTGCCAACAGGATGCTGGAGGACTTCATGAGCTGGAGGAAGGCCCTCCTGAAAATCATCCCATTCCAACTTTCCAGGAAGCTACTCCCCAGGGTCAGTCTATTCTCTTCTGCTACTTCCTCTCCCCTATCCCTCAATTCTTTCCCTTCTCTGACAATCTAGCTTTCTTATGCATATAGCCAGAGGTCACAATCTAGGAGACTTGAGACAGATCCACCCAGCAGAAGTATTTTATTTGGCCTGAACACCATTATTGATGTTGTTTTCTAATTGAGGCAATAATTAAAAATAAGAAGATTTTGCATAAAAAAATCTGAATGTGTGGTTTTTCTCAAAAAAATCTAAAGATCTAGTAACACTGGCTCATATTCCTACACGGCAACAGTTGGGGACAGAATTGAGTAGAGATCACACACTTTAGTTTGAGTCTGTCCATGGAAAATCTTCTGTTACAGTTAAGAAGTTTGTGGACAGTAGAGAATCATTGAAAATGTTTAATTGGGGGGTATTACAAGATATTTTCATTTTACAAAAATCACACTGGTGATGGTGTGAAGAGAGAGCGAGGGGGCAAGCGCAGAAACTAAAGTTTGTCAGAAGTCTACTACATTTATCTAGGGACCAACCTAAGACAACAGAAAAGAAAGAAAGGACTAAATTTCACATACATTCATAAGGTGAAATCATGAAGATTTAAAGACAGATAGACTAAACTGAGGGATGGAGAAAGAGGGGAAAATGGATGATTCTCAACTTTCTGATTTAAGAATTGGGCAGACAATAGTAGATAGTGATACTGTTTTTCAAGATAGAGAATTCAGGAAGAATATATTGGGTGTAGTAAAAGGTAAATTTTTTTTTATTATGAGCATATTTGAATTTGGAGGAGGTATAGGCTATCTAGGTAGAGATGTCCAGAATTCAGGAGGCTCTACATAGATAGGGATAGAGATGCCTTAGGGTAGCTGAAGTCAGAATACCCTGTGGAGAGAAAGCAGCAGATACAAAGCTCAGGAGAGCAGGGACTAAAGGTAGAGTTACAGTTTGAGGAGTTATCAGCATATAAAAAGATGACTGAAGTCATTGGAGCAAGCAAGATTTCTCAGAAAGAAAGTCTAGAGTGAGAGGAAAAGGCAAAGAACAAAATCTTGAGGAACACCAACGTTTTAGGAGCAGGTAAAGGAGGAAGAACTGAGAAAGAAGGAGAGAGAGAGAGAGGGAGGGAGAGAAAGAGAAAGGGGGGGAGAGGGAGAGAGAGGATGATCAGAGAGAAACATGGAAAACCTATGGAGACTGGTGACATGACAATAAGGGAAGAAGGGATCAAAGAAGGATGTGGTCCCCAAATCAAATGCCACAGACACGTAAAAGGTAGTAAGCATTAAGACACTTCAGTGAAAAAATGTTTGGGGAAGAAATGAAAGATGAAGTGATTCGCTTCTGTAGTTCCTTGTCAGCCACAGTCTGGCTCTCCAAGTGTCAAAACTACAGGCAGATTTCCAGGCCCCCTCCCTTTTACTCACCATAAATGCCTGAGGGATTGCAACATGCTGTTCTTATTGTGAAATTAGTTATGAGAAATTTGTTATTTTCTTAAAAGCTGTAGTCAGACAATGTCCTCACACAGCAAATACGGTGGAAGCTTAGGAAATGGCAACAGCCCTTACATAGGCTTGACCTGGCCCTCCGGCCCCAATGGAGCACTGTCTCCTACACAGTTCCCATGGCCATGCCAGCTTTGTGCTTTCCGCCTGAGAACACAACCCTCACACCACACTGCCAGCTGCCCTGAGCACCAAAGTGTACCTTCCTTCAAATACTCCCAATGTAAAGTACCTTTAATACTTCAGCTGTCATCACCCCCAAAGAATTACAGCCAGTGTTTGTCCCACTAGATGCTAACCTATACATCCATAGCTTTAGTTTCTCTTCTTGGACATCCACAATACTTCCTCAATATCATGACCCTCACTTCTAACTACCCAAGACCCATATCCCGCTCCCTCACTTCTAACTACCCAAGACCCATATCCCGCTCCCTCACTTCCAACTACCCAAGACCCATATCCCGCTTCCCTCACTTCTAACTACCCAAGACCCATATCCCGCTCCCAAGAGAGTCCACTCTTAATATTAGATATGCCTGTCATGTCTGTATGGGATACTGATAAGCATATAAGGAATGAGCATTCCTGTAGTATCATCTTATACCTTTTAGCTCTGAAGAGAGAATGTGATACAGTAAATAAAGTGTTGTATTAAATTAGTTGTCAGGAGACCAAGTTCAATTCTAGCTCTGGCACAGCTTTGTAAATTATCTTTGTAAATTATCTAAAAACACTATATAAATGTGAGATACCATGGTTGATATTTCTGAATTTGGAAGTAATGTTAGGGAGTTCCAGGTTGGGTGTGAATATAATTAAGCAATCTTGCCTTGTTCAGACAGTTGCAGGTACTTAAAGGTAAATGCCCATCTAAATTGGAGGCAAGATATAGATAATTCAAAATAGTAGCTTACAAATGTTTATTCCACTTGACTTTGAAAAGCATACCAGGAAGGCAAATCTTCTAGAAAATAAAAAAAGATCATAGAATGGATCCCAAAGTCACAAGTAATTCTTTTTATCTTTTGAAATTGCTAGATAATTCATTTACTATAATGTTGAAAGTTGAGATCCTATGACTCAAGTGTTACAACTTTCTTTTTTATTTGACACTGAAAGTCTTTTTATGATTTTCAAGTAGCAAATTTAATTTTTTATTTGAGACTTTAATTTTCCTTTGGCTAATTAAATTAAATTCTAAAGAATTCGAATAACTGAAATTTTTTTTTTTTACTTCAACTGATTTGAGTTTGTATTTTGTCAGTCCCTAAAATTGCACTGTAGTATTTTCTTAGATGGAGGTAGATGGAAAGAGTAGCTTTGATATTAGGCACACTTGAGTCACAACTTCTCACCAGACCTATAACCTTGGGCAAGTGTCATGACTGCTAGGTCATCATCTTTAAAGTGAGGAGGATGATACCTGCCTTGCTATATCATCATTGAGAATTAAATGTCACAGTATGTAAAATTATTAACACAGTGGCTGTTCCACTGCCAACACTTAGTAAATGACAGCTATTTTTAAAATCAATAACCTTTACAGACTACAGTCATGCCTCCAAAATTATTAAAAGTATATCTAGATAAGTAGAAAATATTACAGACTTCATATGACTACAGGAGTTCCCCCTCAGTTAGGCAAAGGTTGATATATGTTGGATGTAGGTCCACACTCCCTTCTATGAAATTCTGAAAAACAATTTTTTTCTAAAGACTTAAAGTTTTTCATAACTCATTTGGCAGCAAAATGTGATCTGAACTCACTTGACAGTTTAAGCCTGACCTGAACCACCATGAGGTCTTTATTCCACCTTATATAAAATTTCCTATGTATTACTACAACATTCTTAATTTTTAAATTTGGGATACTGCCTTAGTCCCTGCTGGGAGTGCTAAATATATACCATGTATGTTCTACATGACAATTCTGAAATCTAAAAAACTCTGAATCTTGAAACATAACTGGCCCCAAAGTTTCTGATAAAATACCATGGCTCTTCAGTTGCTTTCTTCATCTGCTACACTCAGGGTTTGTAAAAGGATGAAAATGAATGGAATGAAACAGTACCACAATTTTTTCATTTGTTTAGAATCCCAAAAGAAGGCCAAAGAAATTTGCCAGATGTACTTTATGCAGCTACGCTCAGGCCTTACCATAGAAAAGGCCTGTTACTTTAGGGAAAAAACCACCAAAAGGAGTTCACCAAAAACAGGTAAGGGAAAACTACACTTCCTGGTAATTCTTCAATATAATGATGAGCATCTATTTGCCTTTAGTTACTATATCTAGGTATATAATTTTTTTTCCTCACTCGAATTTTCCTTCTGGAAAAGAGTAAAGATGATAAACCATTTTTAAGCCTTTTTTTAAAAGGTATGTAAATAATTTTTAATATAATGGGAGAAACGGTTATGTCATAATGTTAAGTGAAAACAGAGGATATAAAATTGCATATACAGGCATACCTCGGAAATGTGAGAGTTTGGTTCCAGACCACCACAATAAAGCAAGTATCACAATCAAGTGAGTCATAATCTTTTGCTGGTAGAGGGTCTTGCCTTCAATTTGTAAGAAATGCAACATTTGTAAAACACAATAAATCAAAGTGCAACAAAATGAGGTATGCCTGCATATTACAATATCTTTTAAGTGATTTTTTTTCATTTAAAGGAAGTACCATAAACTAGAATGTTCATAGTGGCTGCCTTTCAGGTGTTGACACATGTGTGACTAGTTTTTTTCCACCTGGACTCCAACAGGTGTGCCCTTCTGAGGTGTAAGTGTGCCAGGAGGTATTGATCCCTTCCAACCATGAGGTGGCCAAAGTCCTGGGGCGAGTCACCACTGTCGGCAAGCAGTCCTGATTGTGACTCTTCAAAGTGGGATGGAGGGGTGGGGAGGGGATCTGGGCAGAGTGGGCACTGACAGTCCACTCCTAACTCCACCCATCTTGCAGCTGGAGATTACAAAAAGCTGGTCTTCACTGCCTATCAGAATGGCCTGGAAGACCTTGGACCATCTGCAGCCTTCACCTTTACTGGAACAATCAATGGTTCAAGTATCCTAGGTGTGACTGATCACAAGGGTGGTATGAGGGTGAGGAGTGGGATAAGACACAGGACCCTGGCAAGTGCTGCTCTAGGAAGCAGCCCCAAGTCTATGTCTCCATGTATATTAGAAACTTCTGTCCATTTTCTGCTGATGTGTCCATTTAATGGTATCAAAATAGGTCCAGGGCAGCTGCTCTAACAATGCATGCACATTCTATAATTAGCACTCCATCATTATTTTGAAATGTTTGCTATGGACTGGAATCCCATATACATTATTCCTGGGGAAAATATATTATCCTTTTCAGAAGAAAAAAAAGCCAATATATTATCCCCTCAAATTTCAACATTTTGACAATAGAAAAGGAAGTGGTATTATATTTTTTAAGTTTAATTTTGATTCAAACATTTTAAGTAGCTGTTAAAATGGTTTTAAATTGCATCATCTACTTGAGCAAATGAAGTCCAAGTTGATGGTGACTATCAAGAAGTGAAGAGATCATTAAGCAACTTGACTGGGAATTGCATGTTGCCCTTTCAAGCATTATTCCTGACATAAATGTCCTAAATTCACAGAAGCATATTGATATTTCTGATTAAGTATTTTTAAATCCTTTTACTTTAGAAGTTTATATACAAATTCAACATTTAACATTATCCTTAATATTTTGTATATTTTCTTAGCATAATTCTATAATGTAAATAAAATATAATAATATTTTTCTCCAGGACCCATATAGATAGTTCTTAAATCTATTTTTGTTTACCCCAGCATGCCATTGAAATGTCATGTGTGTTGGAACATTAAGAAGAGTTGGGAGTACCACTCTAAGTGTCTCTGTTATTTAGCCAGAGGTCAGAATGGGGATCACACCTGTATTCTCCAGGGCTGTTAGAAGTCTCAGAGTAACTCCACACCTTACAGATGGGTATTTATTTATCCATGTCTATTTAAATATTGTCCCTTCTTGCCCACAATTCCCTAGTCTCTGGGGAGCCAGGAAGCAGAGGTTTCCTCAGGCAATGTCTGCTACTTTTTCAGCTTCTTTCTCCCCACCAAAACCTCCAATAAACATACTAGCATGGCCTCCCATGGCATTCATGCAGTAAATTAGCATCTTTAATCCCATTTAAGTGGCACACTTCAGCTTTTGAGCTATGTTAAACTTGCACCAAATGTTTTCATCTATCCAACAGTGATGGACAAAGTACAGCTCAAGTAAAAAATTTTAAAAAGCCTTTTAGGAGGCATTTTTTAAATTGCTAAATGATTGTTTATGAATACACGTTTTTAAATTCTTAATGACAAGATTTTTCACTTGTTACAGAACGTTCTGTTTCCTTGAGCACATACAACGATCAATCCATTACTTTTGTTTTTGCGGATGGAGGTTATGAGATCTATGTTGAAGAATTGAGGAAAAAACAAGAGACAGGTAGAATATTTCCTTTTGTTTACAGTGATAAAATGATTACTAATAAGTAAAAAATATATCTACCAAACCATAAACAATGAATTAACTCAGACATGGCAAACAGATTTTATGCTGTGTGCAAACTCCAATGCATTGGGAATGATGCCTGAGAAATCACTGTGTTGAGGAGGATTCAGAAACTTAGCCAGGGTTCATCAGGAAAGAACCCTGATATTGAGAAGTGGTATCTGTTGTAAAAGATGGAAGGAGGACCATATTTGATATCGCTAAATTACCTACTAGATCTTCCCAACCTTACAACTATCACCAAAGTAAAACCTCTAATGAAAGAGTATACCAGCCTTGGCCAGGTTGCTCAGTTGGTTAGAGCATCATCCTGTACACCAAAAAGCTGGGGGTTCAATTCCTGGTCAGGACACATACCTAGGTTGCAGATTTGATCCTGGTTGGGGCACATATGGGAGGCAACTGATAGATGTTTCTCTCTCACATCGATCTCTCTCTCGCCCTTCCTCTCTCTCTCAAATCAATAAACATATCCTTGGTGAGGATAAAAAAATATATACCAGTGCAATGAACAATATTTTAAATATTTTATGGAGAATTCATCAGAGCATAATACACATTTTGAGATCTTTCTCAAAACCACAAAAGTTTTGCTTTTGTTGATATACAACAAAAGAGGAGGATATTTTCTAATATTGTGTATATGTTGGAACTGAAACCTTTTGATAAATCACCAAAGGAATTTTATGCATTCTCTTTCAGACAAGGTGTTATTCCGTTACTATGATTCACAATCACCTGCAAGTGAAACAGGTAATTTGAAGGTCTGGGTAACTGTAATGGGTGAATTCTTAAATTTGGGTAAAGGTAAATCCAAAATTGCTCTATGTGGAAAGGCTGGTAGTCTCTGAAGGTTCTCTTCAGCCCAAACTCATAGTGAAATCTTAGATTCTTAGAGAATTTACTCCATTCTGTCCATTTTGCAGTTTAACAGGATAAATGTTTGGCTACATTTAACAGAGACCCAGACTAACAGTGGCCTAAGCTACACAAAACTTTATTTCTGTCTTAGCCGGGTTGGAATGGCAGGTCTGTTGAACAGGTTGTCCAGGGACCCAGCTCCTTCTCTCTTTGTGGTTCTGTCAGCATCTACATGTTTTAAGATTACTTGCCACCATGACAATGTCCAATTAGCAGGACAGAGGAAGATGGGTACATGAATTCTCTTTCCCTTTGTGGACACAACCTGGAAGTTGCACTGACACTTCCACTCATCTCACTTTGGTCAGAACTTAGTCACATTGCTACATTTAACTACAAAAAAAGGCAGGCTGGGAAATGTTCTGTGATAACACAAGAAGAGGAGCTGAATGTTGAGGGACAACTATCTGTGGCTTTACATGCAGACGGGGAAGCTGACACCCAGAGAAATACTCATTAGAGTCCCAATTCTACAATTAGAAAGCATGTAAGAAAACTAACCTCTCTTCTTCAAGGGACTTAGAATTACCCCCAACTTGTCCAATGACTCTAGTTTCATTTGGGTGCAAATTTCTAAGAGACATGTTGCTGAATGAAGTAATTTTACATGACATAGTAAACTTGTTTCCTGGGTAAATGAATTACAGTTTTTAAGTTTATAATTAACATTTTTTTAAATTGTAAGGTGATAGTGTTGATGGTCAGAAATTAATGGTAAGCCTGAGTCCTACAAAAGACAAAGACTTCTTGCTGCATGCCAACAACAAGGAGGACTCTGTGGAGGTAACAGAAATATGCATTTAATTGTTATGATGGATACCACTCACTTGTGTGGATTTGGGTGTTTGCGGTATTTTGAAGGAGGACTTTTGTTTGTGCTACTGTACATAAAACACAACCAGTTACTACCAATAACTTGCTCCTGGAGTAGGAATGGGGGGGAAATGGCATGTATAGCCTTGCTACTGAAAGTTGTCTCTGCCAGCAGTACAGTATCACCTGGGAGCATATTAGAAATGGAGAATTTCAAGGTCCCTCACAATTGAATTAGAATCTGCATTTTAACAGATCTCTAGGAGACTCACATGCACATTAAAGTTGCAGAAGCACTGCTATATAGGATGATCTCAAGTCCTTCCTATTTGGCTTTAGGAAGTACTATGTTCTTCTAGGGAGTGTTTCTTTGTAAAATGTCATTTTCTTAGGCAAATGTAAAAATAACTTTATACTCTAAGTCTGCTAAAGGGAAGGTCATAAACATTTCCATATTCCAAGATTTATAGATAACAACAATCTACATTCTATTCACAGGATTCACTGCATAGTCTTCTTCAGTTAGTAAATGGCAGTATTATATTGGTCATGATGGAGAACTATAAACATATAAAGGAACAAAGAAGCCAAAGGTGGAAACAAGGGAGAAAACATGAGAGTATAATATAGAAGATAAATTATATAAATACACAAAATTATAAAACTAATTCATACAGCCATGTAAGGTATTAACATGAACACTGGATGGTAACCAGCATCTCCCTTAACAAAACATTCCTAAATATATATAACAGTGTTTGGCATAAGTAGTTAATAATAAGAGCTGACCCATACTGAACTCTATACCAAGCATTATGCTAAATGTTTTACAAGTACTATCTCATTTAATTCTCACAGTAACTCTATGAGTTATTGTATTGGTCAGGTATTGCTGTGTAACAAACCATCCCCAACATTTAGTGGTTTAAATAATAATCATTTCTATCACTCACATGTCTTTGGGTAAGTTAGGGATTGACTGATCTGGAAAACTGGTTAGATAAAAAAATTGAGGCTTGAGAAGTAAAGCAATGTGCCCAGGTCTCAGACATAATATGTGTTAAATCAGGGGTACAAATACAAAACTGTTGTATCTAGATCCAGTCATTCTAAGCCCTATGCCTCTCAAAGTATACTATCAGTGAATCAAGTCAAATTCTCTCACTTTGACCCTCTACTTCTTCCCCCTTCCACCCCTCCTATCCCCTACTCAGTAAGCAGCTTTGCTAAAAATACCAAGTTATAAATAATTATTTCCCTTTAGTTTCTAACACAGGGATGTGAAGTTGACTCTGGACTTTCTACTCACATATTGGTTACTCTCTCTCTCTCTTGTTTCCTCAGCTACAAAAATGTGAAAACCCGTTGCCAGACCAGACTTTCTTTTTTCTTCATACAGAGCCTGGGCCCTCCACATGTGTTTCATTTGAATGCAAGAGCAATCCTGGAGTGTTTATTGGAGTAAAGGATAACCATCTTGCTCTAATTAAATTAAAGGACCAAACTGAGCATTCAAGAAGAGAGAATATCAAATTTAAGCTCTCTTAAACTTAATGTGTTAGAAAGCTGTGAATCCTGGGTTGAGTAGCCCAAATAGCTACCACTGAAGAGACTGTCAAAAAAAAAAAAAAAAGAGAGACAGATAACACTTAAGGAAAATAGAGAGTGCTTAGCATGCTGTGGAATGTTTTTTCTCATTATGCTAAAATTATATATTTTTTGTAATCCTCAGTTTTTTATTTCGCACTGTATCACTGCATATTCAATGCAAGTATTGGTATATTAAATAGGGTATTGGTAAAGCAACCTGCCAATATTCTGAAGACATACAGACCTTTACTTTTTTCTGCTTTCAGCCTAGAGAGAACTTTATATTTAGAGCTGAGACCTCTGGGGAGAAACAAGGGTCTTAGCCCAAGTCTCATTTTAGACAGAGATCCATTTTAAAGAACTACATAGGGACATATTTTCCCTGGTTCCAAACAGTGGACTCTAACACTAGAGCTGCTAGTAAAAGCCCAACCAGATGCTACATAGAGTGAATATTTCACAAACTCCAAGTTAGTAGATGCTCAAAACTTCCAATGACTACATGGCTAGATAAGTAATACACATATATTAGAAAGACAAAGATAGCCGGCAGGGCATGGCTCAGCAGTTGAGGATTGACCTAGGATCCAGGATATCACATTTCCATTCCCAGTCAGGGTACATGCCCGGGTTGTGAGCTCGATCCCCAGTAGGGGGGTGCAGGAGGCAGCCGATCAGTGATGACTCTCTCATCATTGATGTTTCTATATCTCTCTCTCCCTCTCCTTTCCTCTCTCTGAAATCAATAAAGATATATTTTTTTAAAAAGACAACGCCTTAGCCAGTTTGGCTCAATGGTTAGAGCATTGGCCTACAGACTGAAGGATCCAGGGTTTGATTCCAGCGAAGGGCATGTACCTCAGTTGCAGGCTTGATCCCCGGCCCCAGTTGGGGTGTGTGCGGAAGGCAACCAATCAATGTGTCTTTCTCACATTGATGTTTCTCTCTCTCTCTCCCCCACCCCTCTTCTACTCTCTCTGAAAAGCAATGAAAAAATATCCTAGGGTGAGGATTAAACAAACAAAAAGCCAAAAATGATTTTAAAATTAAGAAAAATAAATCCAGTATTTGTAAAGTGAGTAATTTCACCTTTAATTTTTCATTTTAAAAATTCTGATTTTTATAGACTGAGTTAACTATAAAGAAAAGCATTCTTAAATTAGGAATTGAAATACATTTTAGTTCAGTAATAGCATTGGAAGCATTAGGAATATCTAACAAACTAAAACCTTTTTCAAAAAAAAAGCACTGAGCCACAACGTAGGTTAGGGCATCCAAGTACCATGGTGGGGCCAGAAGTCTAAAATGGAACACAAAATTAATATTACAATTTCAATAACTGGCTAACCCTCATGTTTGTGGCATATCACATCCTCTGACCCAGGCTTCTAGGGATCAATGATTTTTTATAGACTTGTCACCTTGGATAAAATTTCTTCTAATCCTTTCTTCCTATGTGCACAAGTCTTTTTGTTGTCCAGCTTCCCAATGACCCTGCTTACTATGAAATATTCATTTGATTTCTGTTTTACCTTCATTTCTTTTGACCAATTGTGTTCTTGATATACCTTTGGCACCCCTGAGCTTCATTTCCAAATTACCTAATATCTGAATGCCAGCACCTTTATTCTGCTCTGTCTACCTGATGTAAAATTTTACATAAATCTATTGATAGCAATATTTTTTATTAAACATCTTTGTGTTTTACTGTTACTAAGGTAGTAAAATAATTTATACTCAACCATAATAACATTTTCAACTACTAATGGAATAATTTTTGCTTATCTTAAGGTCTTAACAATGTCTACTACAATTTTTCATAGGCTTAATACTGACAACAAATGATAAACATAATAACTGAATACTTATGAAATATACTTTTCTGAAACTATAGGCTGTTTTTACTTCTAATTTGTTGAGATCTATCAGATATAATTGCTGGTGGAACATAAGATAAAAGAAGCTGGGAATTACTGTATAGGGGCAAACAAGTGTAGAACAATATAACTTTGCTTCATTACTTTGCCAATAATTTTGCTATACAAAGAAAAATAAAAGCAGAATCTGTATCATCCCCTCTGAAAAACACTAATATTGACCATGTGCACCTGTATGATATAGTTAAAATGATTATTAACCAAATATATCCATTACATTGTTTATATTCTTGAATAAACTATATTTTTCAAAAGTTTGTAAAGCCATAATGATTTTATCATAAAATGTCTCAATATTCTGAAATTCTTACATGAATGTAAGCATATCACAATCCACCAATACTGGTATCCTGAGTAGATCATTTTTGGTGATTCAAAACTAAGTAAGATTTCCCAGAGTAGGAATTGTATATTTTTTTACCGTTGTACTCCCAGTGCCCATCATGGTGACCAACACATGACAGGTATTCAGTGACGTTAACCCAAGGTCAAATAGCCAGCATGTACCTGCATTAGAACTTTAACCTGAGACTTCTGACTACTTATTTAGATACCTTTCAACCTGGCTATCTTTATATACATACATATATGTGTGTGTGTACACACACACACACACACACACATATATATATATATAATTTTTTCCCACATCACTATAGTCATCACTAGAGTCAGTGCTTTTTGATTAAAATATTCAGATGTGGCCTGGCCGGGCATGGCTCAGCGGTTGAATGTCGACCTGGGATCCAGGCAATCGGGGTTCGATTCCCGGTCAGGGCACTTGCCCAGGTTGTGGGCTCCATCAATGACTCTCTCATCATTGATGTTTCTGTCTCTCTCTCTCCCTCTCCTTTCCTCTCTCTGAAATCAATAAAGATATAGTTTTAAAAAAATAAAATAAAATAAAATATTCATATGTGTAGTGGCCTTATGTTTTTTGATGGTCCATAACACACATTACTGGAAGGAGTCTATCCATTTTATTATTTCAGAAATGATAACTATGTCAAAACTTATTTCCCTTCATTTCATTTATATTCTTTGGATTTTTATGTATTTATTGAATACTTTGAACTATTGTCAAGAAATTTTTATTTGAATGAGTAAAGTTACTTGGAACTGGAAAAGAAAACTGAGAGTTGAAATTTGGGGAATTTGGGAAAAAATTGCTAATTTAATTAGAATGCAACAGCTTGATTAAAGTCTTAAAACATTGATTCATAACCTCCATGTCTGTAGCACAAAACAAGCCAAAGAAATAACAATTTCAACCTTTATGCCTCATGTTGAGAAATTACATGGTAGAGAAATCTTAAGCTGGGGTACTTCAGTGGGAGTTGCAAATGGTTTGTCCCAAAATTCATACTCCCCTCATACTATCGCCTACATAGCCCAGAAATCTCATTGTCCAGCAGTTAAGTACATGCCGTGTATACTGGACTCTGCTAGGCACCATGAAAACACAAAAGAAGCCTAAGCTATGCTCCTTTTCTACATGAAACTTAACACATGTACAATACATATTAAAACTCCAACTCTGCAGTACACAGTTACACAAAGATGAGAGAGATCAGTATGAGTTTCTCATTAGGGAAAGAAATAGGACTGAATTCTCTATCCCCAGACCCTAGTACCCACCTCAGATCTATTCATATAGCCATTCTCAAGGTCATGTCAAACAGGTTCCTTCTTCAGGTCTCAGGCAAAAGGGAGTAAATTTAATTGTTCCAAATATTAATAGTCAAGGTTGGGGCTAGGGCACTTAGGAATCTGACAAATGAATGCAAGAGATAAAAGTGAAAGCCAACTGATAGATAATCTATGAGCTATTTTCTGTTGAGGTGCCGAGATAATGAAACACTTGTCCGAGTCCAATTACAGTCCCTAGCTCAGAAGACACTCCCATAAAGAGAATACATGAATCACTAACCAGCATATTAAGAACATATGCTTGGTTTACTACTTATAGTCTATGCAACTTCAGCAAATTATGTAAGCTCTCTCAATCTCTGTTTATCTTCTGTAAAATGAGGAGGTACCCAAATGTTATGGTAGCTTACCTACTATCCATTACCACCAACCTTACTTCCTTACCAACAGAATCTCATTTTGTCCTAGGAAACAATATGCCCAACTAAAAACACACTCCTTCCCAGACTCCCATGCAATTGATATGGTAACCATTTGACATTGTTCTGGACAATAAAATATAGGCAAGATAATGGTTTAAGAAAAACTTTTTCAAAGGAGACATATTCAACTGGGATGCCCTTTTCCAGTCTTTCACCCTCTCCCCTTCTTTCCATCTAGACCACAGACATGAGGCTGAATGTACAATAGCCAACTTCTGACCATGAGGTGATAAGCATGGGGACAAAAGCCTACACATTAAAAACGGCAGGAGGGAAAGATGGAAAAACTCTGGTGTAGTGAACAATATTGGTATTCTGCCCAAATCCCCTTGGATGCCTTTATACTGGATTCTTTGATAATATTTCCATGTGTACACCACACACCTTCACCACCACCACCACTATCTTCTATGTGCTTTCAATATCCAGCACTTGCAGCTCCTCTTACAAGAACTGCTCTTATTTACTGATGCTTCTTTGCACTCTTATATAGAGAAGTAAAAGTTTCTGTGAGTCTGCATTCTTCCCATCAGCTTCATAAGGTTTTTGAAAGCCCAGCTCCCCTGTCTTGGGTGAAAAATTTCTGTCCTAAATTTCACTCAAAAATTACCCTCCAGAGTCCATGCTGAAGCTACCTTCTGCTATACTTCAGCATAAGATCACCTTCTTGCTTAGATTCCTATCCATTCTTACCAAGCCCAACTCCCTTAGCAGTCTTTCTTGGGAATGTTTCCTTAGTAAATCATATGCTCATAAATCTCTAACTCAGGGTCTGCTTCTAGGGAATGCAATGTAAGACACCACATCACATATGGCACTGTTTTGCTCTCATACTAGTCTTGCAGAATTAACTGCAGACTTTCTTTGTTGAGAGAGGAAAATAAGCCCATGTGTGCTTAAGTTAGTGTTGAATTTTCTGTTGGATGTGGCTTAAAGCAAACTTCACCCATAGAAGAGATAATAGTAACACCTGCTTATTTGGACACTGATAAGAATTGCCTTGCACATATCAAACACTCAGTGAATGTTAGCTTAGAAAGACAGACAAACCTGATTGATATTAAATGAGAAACGTTTTCTTAGGTACAATTAGAAGATAGAAAGACACAAGAAAATCCCTCCATGACTTTAAGAGAAGTTACCCTGT